AAAAAATAGAAGAAATGCATTTTGGTACAAAAATATACATAGCTATTGATAAGAATTTTCAACTCATGTATTTACTCTCATTATCTCTAATTTAGACCTGAGATTCTAATTTACATTTGTGTACTTGAGAATAGAGTCATAACAAAGCACTTTGTTCTTATCTTCTAAACTTTGAACCTGACCTATGCTTTTTCCCACTGTATAATTATTTCTTTCCAGTATTTAATAACCTAAATAAAAGTTTACAATCAGCTAGCATTGTAAATATTTAGTCCCAACCAGGGAGTTCAGCAGAGTTGGCAGTGAACCACCTGAACTTGCTTTGGAATGCATTATAAACTCATCCCTAGTTCCAGATCACAGCATAGAAAATCTCTTGCTGTGCCTCTGTACAAGGTCAGTTTCATGCCTCAGCCCAATGGTTCCTTGTACTATTAGCTTTTAACGCTTCAGGGGGGATTTTCTGCTCTACTTAGTTTCATCCCAAGGACCTCGCCCTAGCACAGCACGAGTAGTGACTGATAGTTCCGTGAAGCTACCCCAATCCTGGAAGCCAGACAAGTGTCTGTCAGTAATCCAAAATAAAGTCTTAGGGCTAACAAGATGATTACACACCTCTGTTCTGTACAGCTCCCAGCCTGTTTCATGGCCAGTGCCAGAACACCTCGTAGTCATTCATATATATAATTGGGTGTTTCACAGACTTTACCACATCTTTTGTCAGATTCAAGAACCAGAAATACTATTATTGTTTTCTTTAACCTTTTTAGAACTTAAAGAATTATTTTAAAGGAAATGTTGCTTTGGTAAGTAGAAAACATTTCCTATAGTCATAAAATATCAAAAAAAAAACCCAGTGCAATGAAAATAAAACTATTATTCTAATGAGGTTGCCTATGTACAATCTGAACTCAACATCCAAAACTGATTCTGAATTTATAGAAAAAGGAAGAGTAGTAAGCATTGGAAATGTTAGTATGAAGCTAAGATTTTTCTAGTTAGTGTAATTAGAAATATTAAAGAATATTGAAAAGAGAATAACTTTTTATTGCGAGTTCACTGTTATTTAATGGTGCGTCTAGCTAAAAATCACTTCCATTACCTCACATCTAGGTGCCCTCCACCTTGAAAAACTAACTGATTTCAACTACCATACATAATGTTGATTAGTGAAGGTTACAGGAAGGGCATCCTAACATGCCTCCCTATCTCAGAGTGCTGTGACAGCCATCAGAAGGAAAATTTATATGAAAGTACTTATGTGATCTAGCAGAAAAGCT